AGAAATTAAATGATGAGATGAAAATGTGTTATAATGGCGCTTAGAAAGAACAACAATAAGATGGACCTATAATATTATTGACTACTTGCAAATAGTAACTATGGAGACGAGGTAATAAAAAAAATCAAGTCGAGAACAACAAAATTTTATAAACGAAAACCTCTCGCCGAGCATTGGCTATTATATTATTTCCCTGTCAATGTTCCCATCTTCATTAAAAGGCGTAAGATGACAAAAACAAGATTTTGAAGAATCTATCTATATACTACTAAAACTCTGAGATTGTTTGTTTGCTTATTTTCTAAGTAAAAAAAGCATTCACACTACCGTTCGCGCTCTTTAAGAAACTTCATTGAGCCACGGGTTACAGAGTTAGCGCCGTTTTTCGGGTCACTTTTATAAAAATTTCTAGCATGAGTAATTTTACATCACACTACCGTTCGCGCTCTTTACGAAACTTCTTCGTTCAAATATATTTCCCTGTCAGTGTTCCCATTTTCATTAAAAGGTGTAAGATGACAAAACAAGATCTTGAAGAATTTCTCAATAATGTGCCTTGGTTATGGTAGGTAATTCGAAGAAAAAATAAAATGTTACTGTTTCTTATTTGTAGAAGGTTTAAGAGGAAAGACGACAACATAATGAACTAATTCATCACAATATCTGAAAACTCTGACTTCACTTTTTTGAAGAATGAAATGGTCTTTACTTTTACTCCCGATCAACAATTAAATATCTTTTTCTTGAATTATGAATAACATGAAGGAATTGAAATATTTATATAAATTATCTCAAATAAACCTTCATTTCGGTGCAAGATTGAAATTAGCTTGAATTCTTCATAACCTCTGAATAGTGGGTGACTCAAACGGGTCACGGGTTGTCTTGTATACCACTAAAGGTACAATGACAATACCAGGCTTAAAAATTAATTTTGAAAATGAAGATATGGCTACTGTGTGAGCTGCAGCATATGAGCGTCATTATACGTGCGTCATTAAACGTCACTTTTGTTTGCCATCAACTTCTTGTAGTAAAAATTGAAATTGATTTCAAACTCGAACCGCTCACCTGAATGCTTATCCATTTACTCTCGATATTGTTATTGCCTATATGAATTCCTCTACTAAATCTGATGGACATTGCTTCGCCTAGTTCCTCACAGCTGATTGTGACGTCACGATATCAAACACGCAGGCCGATAACTCTGCTTTATATAGATAGGTAGCAAAAATACAGGGTTTTATGGGGATGGTGCGACAGCGGATGTGTGCATTACTCGCCATATAGGTCTACTGAATATGAGCATTCAGGGTTTGTAAAGTAGGCACTAAAGCAGTAGCAAGGGGTAAAACTGAAATGGGCTTACACCCTGACCGTTGGTCTAATTGCATTTCAGATCATATGACTGATCTGAATAACAATAAAACGAGAATTGGTGACATTACTTTGTAACAGGGGTTTTCTTGACGTATCTATAATCTAATTTTTTTTCTATGTGAAAGCAGGCCAAAAAGTGGCTCACCTGTGAAAATAATATTACTTTACAATGTGTTGGTCTACTGGACAGGTTCTTGGTACGGGACGAGTGTGTAGCTGTTGTAACTAACTCAAACTCTTTTATGATTTTCATATAAAACACATTAGCACAAATAAATGATGATTAACATGTACATTCCAACTATACTATTTATTCTTCTTCTGAATATTTTTATTTTACGAAGATAATAAGTTTTTACACATTCTGACAAATGTAGTCAAATAGTCTATTATTACTGCTGGTCAATGGATGTATTTCAACCCGGTTATAATGTACAGTTATTCAACTTTTGGTCAGTTATTTGCTGTGAAATGAAACCTGTTTGGTATTGGTAGCAATAACTACTTTTATACTTTGGTCAGCAAAAACCGTTACACAGTCTTATCCACTTGTTTGGAAGCTTCTTTTAACATTTTTGTTATTAAGTTATATTTCTAAACAATGGAATCAGAAATAAAGATCATGTTGATGGAGATGTACTATAAAAATGGTTGCAATATTAAGACAGGACCATCATAAAATGTAGGCCATGCCCAGCTGTTGTTTTCAGCAGATTGATTTTAGAAATAGAATGTGGAGCTCACTGATAACGTTATCAGTAGTTGTTGCACATTTGTGTCATAGGAAAACTCCAATAACGTGGATATGTCCAGGATATCTCATTCATGCCGGATGGTAGTCTGCTCTGTATTTACCGTCCGGTAAAGATATTTTTCACACAGAGTTTTGGGGGAGGGTCAGATTCTGGCTGTCACTTCCATCGTGTTTGGCCACCTTACTCCCCTGGCAATAGCAGTGGAGCTTTTTGAAAATGCGGGGAGTCTATTATTATTACATAACAACCATTTTTTAACTAAAGGATACCACTGAGACAGGTTGTCATGATATAAAATACTGTTTGGTTTAGATATTAATGACTAACTTATTTTTGTGAGTGAATATTTATCATTGTTTAGTTTCAGTTATAATAAGAGTTAAAAGCAGACGAATGTAAGAAGTTTTGTTAATAATTCATTGACGTCGAGAATATATAGGGCGGGCAGACGAGTAAGTGATAATCATGTAAATAGCGTGAGACGATCGGGAAGCATCAGACAGACAGATAATAGCAAAAGAGAATAAAGTTGGTGTGGAGTTAACTACCGTAGAAGTGATAGGCCTAACGATTGACATAGGCCCAACGTTTAATATGTTAGAGTGAAACTAACAGTATAAAAGAAGATAAGAAAAATATTATACCGTCAAAGCGTGGTTCTAAGGTAATTGAATCAGCCTGAGTGCACTTTGACTAAAGGAACAGGGTATCTTCAAAAGAAAAAAAGACCAAACGATTACGTTAACTCGCGCCACAATTGTAAGCGAATCACAAAGAATACTATTGCGAAAGAAATAGAGAAGATAGTTCGGCTTGTCAACTGCAATTCTAAGGTAATTGAATAAGCCTAAGTGGATATTTGACAAGAAGGAGAGAACTACATATATAGTATTTATGATATGTCCATAATATCTATAGTGTTGAAGAATTTATTGTACATACTTTAACTTGTTCTGAATATACATATTATTTTGAAAACAAGTGACGTGCGTGCTGTTTATTCCTCGTTGAATTTATCGCTATCAAGTCACAGAAGAATCCTAAGCCCAACAACAACATAGTATATATTTATACGAATTAAGAAGTATAATTAAAAGTCTTTTTATTTTGACAATTGGCAAAGAATTATATTTTAAATTCGGACACAGGTGTTTTGGACAATATTTAAATAGACGTTACGCACTGTAATACCTAATACGAAAATGATGGCAGTATCGTTGAACAGTTTTTACAGTCGCGCCCTTAGTGCTATTTCGTGAAAACAGTGAAATGTTATGCCCCAGTATTGTACCGTCCGCTCTGCGGACTGTTACAAGTACATGTACCCACAGTGACTTTACAACCACCAATTAGGCAAAACTATTAATTCGAAGTTGAATAGAGTTGTTTAAACATTTGGTTAACAACAAGTAAAAGCTTGGAATGGTCTATTCTTTCATTGAGGGTGTGTCTGTGAGCCAGACTAGTTTCGGAGAATTCCACTCCTCATCAGTGACCAGGCTGCCTAGTGTCGGCTAACAATACGAAGAATTCAATTGTGTCGGAATGCTACAAGTTTTTCAAATACCTATAGAATGATAGGTTTCTTTTTTGGAGTGTAAAACACTTGAATACACCATATTAATTCGAAGTGTTTATGCTGATTCGGGATTAAAATGTTCTCGTACTGTTTTTTTTTTTAGTTATTTGGTGCGAAATAAAATATATGCAATTTTACCCATTCGTTTTATTTTTATGATAGACTTTCACACGTTAGTTTCCCACACAAATATGAAAACTCACTATATTTCGATAAATAAAAAAATCACTATTTTCATACGTCGTTAAATCATTATTTTTTCTTGTAAAAAATGTTCTTACTACTTCTCTAGTATTGAAAATATTAAATTTGACAATGCCATTTTAAAATGACAAGGTCATTCGTCCACGTCACCTGCTTTCAGTTAGGTTTTTATAATATTCATCTCATTTATTTTAAAATCTTAATTTATTTATACACGTTAAACCATAATGTTAGGGTTTATGAGGATAATGATTTCACCAATGCATTTCTGTGACTTGACTAGTATGTCTTATGGATAAGCATAAATACCCACTTCATTCACTAGCTGTTTCACGTATATAATGATGGAACAGGAAGTATGACTGAGAGTAATATTTTGGTGAACCCATAATCTGATTGTCTCATTCCCAAATGGAGATGCTTCTTGATTATGTTGCCTGGGGTAATGTAAATTAGTTTTACCACTGACCTTTGTGTTTGTGGATTTTCACTTGTTACAAGATTTCACACTTTGTGGGTGGTCCTTGTGGCCCAAGTTGATCTATGTTCCTCTGTTTTCTAATACAATTAAGTATTAGGGATATGTCATCTTTGAAACTCTAAATCCTAAGTATCTTGCATCAACAAGGGCTGTTACAAAGCCTTAAAAAAAGTGATAATGACATTTTTTGGTGGCATCACACTACCTACAAAACACCAAATAATATCAAAATGTGTTTCTGATACATACAATATTAATTTTGGGCTACTAATTATACTAATATATTTTACACATAATTTCGCTTTGTGGGTTTTCGGCGGAGAGGATTTTAAGTCCTTGTGAGATTTGCAAGAAAGATTTATGTTACACACCAAACAATCTGCTTTTGAAGTTTTACTCCGTAATTATACGATTTTTTTATACACAAATATATGCATAATCATGCTCATCATATACAATAAACGATTATTCTACGGTGAATTTAAAAACGTGCATAAACATGGATTATTTAAAACTACTCTTAACGAAAACTGTCAAGAAAAAAGTTAAAACAAAGAATCAACCTAATACAATATACATATTTAATACAGTTAGTATATAATTCTGCTGTACAAAAAGCTCACAATTCTAGGCCTTCAATCGATATAACAGGGCCTGCTTTCAACAATACTTGACATAGTTATATTAACAGATACTACAACCAGACAAGGCAAGAAAACTCAAACTGACAGTGACACTTTTTTTATCTGCAAGTAAACACTAACAATATTCTATACTTTGAACTTTCACACATTTATATCTCATAACATAGAAATTTTAATTTTAGAAAATAAGTGACTGGGTTTATAATTTAGACGATTAATTTTATTTATTTATTTTATTTTTCGTGTTATGCAGATTCCTGAGACATTTTCTAGTAAGACAATGAAAGTAAAGAAAGCTATAAACAATTTACATGAAATTAGTTCTTATTTAGTACCAATTTTTTCACAAAACTGACGAAACAATATTATGAAGAACTTCGGAGAAATCAGCGGGAAAGTTCGACGAAGAATTATGAATATGAGTCTTGTGAATCAAACAAAATCGAAAGATTGAACTATATATATTCTCAGTTGTTATTCGAAGGTATTATAAATGAGACCTATGATACTTAATGTTAATTTCTTTCATTTGCTAATATGGATTACAGATTACTATAACTGAAAACTGTATAAAAAATCAGTAGTTATTTTTGTGACGTATGATTGGGATATTATAACATTTCCATTATAATTGTGAAACCAGTCAAAGTAAATACTTTTTTTATGTATTTCAGGAGACAAAACAAGTAAAATGTAGAGTTTATGTGCAGCTTTCTAATAGTACCATTTACTATTGTATTTAGCTACACCTACATTTATGTCAGGATGGAAAATGGGTCTGTATTAAAGGTTTGACATTCGAATACACTAATCTTTAACCTATACAAACTATTTCCTGGAACGTCGAAACCAGTTTATAAACAATCTGTTAATGATGACTGGGAAAACTTGTTCATATTACCATCCTTATTCAAAAAAAACAAAAAAACAATTAGAAGACAAACAGAAGCGTTATTCCAAAATACAGGGAAGTTCAGAAAGAAACGAAGTCCCCACCCCCCTCATACGTTGGATATGAGTAAACTGAAACCGACCGTGTTCAAAAGTCATTATACATCCGCAGTTGACAGGATCACTGTAGTTAATGGACAACACAATTCTCAAGTAGCAGTTGCGAGTGACATTGGTTCTTGAACCATGTACTGTAATGGCTGCAGTTGAAAAGTTCTGATGGCCAGTCTTTCAACATCGTGCACATAGGCTTGACCTCGCATTCTGTGACTTTTACTTATTCTTTTATCCTTTGAAAGCTAAGACTACTTTTATAAACAAACTGGTGTTCATAAAGCAGCTTTACTTATTTTGATGAATAAACCACATTTGGATTTTACCAACCTGGTATGATGAAGCTCATCAAATGATGAAGAAAACGCATCGTACCTTTGTGGAATATGTTAAAAAGTGATGTCTGGCTCCCACTGATACATCCTCAACATCATTGAATCCCGCTTGTTTGTTTCATCATGATATGATTGATCAGAAGAGAAAAAAAAAATATCGTTTCTTTCTGAACATCCCTCGTATGAGCATCTGAAAAATCAGAGTTCACGTGTTCCTTCGTTTTAAAATTCCTGGTAAAAGTGCTGTAATGCTGCACTATTTAATTGTGCACTGGTACAGAGGAAAGTAGCTAATATTAGTTGTATATGTTCATTTTTACTTCTCAATAACGGCGTACTTAATTAGGTGTATCTGATGGAATACTTCTCTCATTAAATGCTCTGGCGTGAAAAGTGTTATATTAGTGTGAAATATACTACATGAACACTAATATAATTGATTATTAAACTTTAAGTGTGCGAAACAGAAGAGACATTCGAGTTAAATTCAAGGCCATGTTGGTATCCACTCTTCTTCTCAGGAGAGAGCTGATGTATCCAATTGAAGTCAGATCTCCTCAAACTACCTGTTGACAGAAATAAGTACACCGACTTATAAGAGTGATAAAATTAAAAACTGTTTAGAAAACTAAGGGAGTGAGACATGGTACTCTACAGTGCCGCTGTAAATGGTACCTATTGCACAACTATCCCTAGACGATTGTATTTGCACAAAAAGAAACTAAACAATTTCTGTGCACAACTACGGATTTGTAATTGTTTGAGTGCTTTATCCCCCTTTACTGTCGCCTATCGGAAGCTTAATGAGACAAGTTGGAAGGTTCTCGTACATACCATTTTTACACCAACATTCGGCATATAAAGTTACGGTGTAAACCAGACAAAAAATGAATCTTTCGAAAGAAAAAAAAGTTTATCGGGCGATGAACAAAACATTTTAGACTCACAACTGCCATATCGATATCTTAAATATTTTTCTTTGTTAAAAAAAACAGGAGTAACTTTTGGGCAGCCGATGGAAATTGGGTTAAATAAACTGTGGTAAATCAATATGTTCACACCCACCTCTATAAAATGCCGTGTTTAAATTATGTCCGTTTCGTGCAACTTATTAGATGACGGCGGAAGTGTATCGGCCCTACGTGTTTTATTTACCATTTGAGATAATACTTCAATGTCCTTAATATTAGACCTAATAGACGTTGGAAGATGAGTCATAGAACCAGATGCTGAGGCCAGAGCGAGATTTTTCTTTGATAAAAGGTTGCTTTCACTTCCAATTTTCTTGAGATCCCGGGGTTCTATGTCACTGAGCGCTCTTCGTAGAGAAGAGAAACGAGTGAGAAGCTGTGCGTGTTGAAGCTGTTGTAGCTTGGTGTACTGGTCTTGCAATCGTTTTTGCTTGTTCAATAGTTCCTGATGCCTGTGCTCCAGGATCTCCTGGCGATTCCTAGAAGACAACAATGTTGATGAAGGGCTGAATGTGTTCGTCAAGTTGGTGGCATCTGTTACAGAAGGCCCGTCTCCTTCAGACAAGCTGCGTTCAAGCTGAGATTTCACAGCGGGTCCATTTCTTAGAAGAAAACCTTCCTGAGAATTCACACTTTCGCTGCTGCTACTAGATGAGTGCTCCCGCCGAGCAATCTCTTCTGTCAAAGCTTGTGTTGTGATCATCTGGTTGTTACTTGCTTTCAATCGTGGTTCATCATGAGAAGTAGATTTTCGCAGTGAATCTGACTCGGACCTAAGCGCTTGTAAATTTGGTGGGTTTCTCTTGTTGACTTGCTGAGTCGTACTTTGTGTAGAATCAGCAGGTGCACTAGAGCCTTCATCTGTTGGCAGCTTAGATATACTGGAAGACTGCATTACCGAGCGACTAGATGTGCGAGGTGGAGGAAGGGGAACTTTTTTCGGAGGTAGATGAGGAGGTTCGTGGAAATGTTGCTGTTTTCGACCATTGGGTAGAGGAGGGGCAGAGGTTTTATCTAACGGAAGGGGTCGATGCCGATCCCCACTTTCATCAACTGATAGCTTGTTTCCTCCATCTCCAGAAGGATTTGGGGATCTCCTATGCCCAGTAAAGTGCTGATTGAAGGAGCCGTATGATACAGATTCAAAATTATGGGAAGCAGAATGACAATGAGTGCTAGCAGGCTGGTTTGGTCTGATTTCATGTGTCTGATTAAAAGACTGAAGTTCATTAAGCAACTCATCTAGGGCAGTTTCTTTCTGCTGTGCCTTACGATGGTCATCAGGAAAAACTTCAACCACATTACGAACGTCTGAGCTGACGGTCTGAAAATATATGTATGTAAATATGAGAGAAGATAAAATGCAGTTCGAAAGCACACGAAACTTATTACGAACCAATTTCAAAGATTACAGGAAGCTATTTTTATATACTGTAGGTTTATCAAGGTATAATTACTATAATGGACACAATTTCGAGTAACTAATGCACAAACTTAACTTCCTGTCAATATAAAAAATACAAGTATAGCAGAACAAGCATATTGTTCTTTTACATATAACCATTTGAATTTTTGTAAGTAAATTAGCTTTTCCTACATGTGCTTTTGTCTTGGTCGATATATGACAAATAAATCATTAATAATATAATAACAACCCAATCCAATAACGTGGGTCAGTTTAAAATATTAGGTCGTCAAGAAATTAATGTCGCGTTTTGGAACACTGTCATTAACCACCCCAGAAAAAACGTACATTATGTATAATAGTTAAATGAACCGCCTAAACGTCACGTTAGTGTAGCCTATATAATATGTAAAGTTTAGTATATTATAATCCTTTATAGTGATGGCACACGACGAGACACACATTCGGCATGTAATGCTGTTTCAATACAAGAAGAGAAAGAACGCCTCTGTAGCTACAAAGAATATGAAAGAAGTTTATTGAAATGTTTTGAACGTTCGTAAGTGTCAACGACGGTTCAGCAAAGTTCGTTCAGTTGACTTTAGCCTTAAAAACTGTGATTTGCAGGGTACGACATGCTGGAATTAATATTGATGCTCTGAAGACGCTTGTCGAGTCTAACCCAAGGCAACACACTCGTCAAATGGTCCTGAAATTGCATGTTTGTCATGAAACAATACGCAAATATCTAAGTAATATGGGAAAACTCC